ACATTAAAAAAAATTAAAAAAGAATCTCTAGTTTCCTCTTAAAGGACTACGGACCAAAGTAATAGTTACTCATATGTTAGGACATTTCTAGAATGGTACCAGAAAGCCAAGTCTGTTAGGACATTTCTAGAATGGTACCAGAAAGCCAAGTTTGCACAATATTCTACTATTCTATTCTATTCTAATAAAGCAAATAGTTGCTTTATTATCATATGAATGTCTCATCTATAATTATCAATGTATATCTTCCCTAATCCTGATGCTAGTCCACTAAAGAAAAACAAATTAGATTTAAACTTTTTTAATGCTAAAAACAGGGTTAGCAGAAGGTTTTTACCCTATTTGAGGGACAAATGTCTATTTGAGACACAATCTCAGTAAAAGGGGGATGATGGTAGAAGCAAACTGACATATCTAAAAAGAATTGTAGACATCTTGTTTCCATTGATTAATTAACTTTTTAGTGTTGAATTACTTATGATTTGGTAAAAAGCAGAGTTTCCAAGGAGTCCCAACTCCAAAATGAACTTTTCTCAATTAATACCGTAATATAAGAAGATCAGTTTCAGTTTTACCTCTGACTCACTATTTTTATAATTTGTGAAATTATTTAATATCTTTGAGTATCTGTTTCCTTAAGTTCAAAATAGGAAGAATAATTCCACCCTGGGGATTGCTGAGAAGATTACAGATATCTGTAGAAGTTGCCTGGTATGTAAGAGGCACTCAAAAAAAAAAAAAAAAAGCTACTATTACTATGAGCTTGACTATTTAGAAAAACTAGTAATTGCTCCCAGTAAAGTTAAAGAGGATTTTCTGGTACTAGAAGGAAAAGAAAAAGGAAAGACTAACAGTTTATTGAACAAAGAGACCATCATCTTTCTATCTGTCAAAGAGGATAACATGATTTATGACATAAAACTGACATTCCGAAAAACTGACTTAGTAAAAGAAGGTGGGAAGTTCTTAAAAGGAGACATTAGTGCACTTACAGTCAGTAGAATGATGGTGGAATTTTTTTGTTTTGTTTTTGTTTTTAGGGGATAGGAATCCCTCCAAGGAAAGCACATTTCAGTGAAGGCAGAGTTTCCGCAGACAGTTGATTTTGAACCTCTGTCACACCTATGTTCTGATGCAGCTGTTCAGCATGTTCAGTGGCTCTTCCTAAAGCCATGTGACCCATTTTTCCCTCTGCTACTACAGGGCCTACTGCAAACATACACCCACTGTCCAGTGTCTCCAGGCCTCTCTTCTGGACAATTACCTGCTGCCAAAGCCCTGCTTCAAAGCCCCTAAGAAATGAAACACATGGGAAGGTTTCAGGCTCATTTACTGGATGTTGTAGAGGCCGACGCCAACATGGGTACATTGAAAAGTCCCTGGCTCTGTCTCAAAACCCTCAATCCAATTAGTCACATTATAAAGGCTGGAGAAACTCTTCACTGAGAGTATCTGCATGACAATACTCACTGGGTTCTTTGAGAGAAACAGATCCCGCAGAGTCTGTCGCGAGGGGTTAGCCTGATTTTCAACATGTTATTTCTTTTCCAGTGTCTTGTTGGTGGGTCACATGCCGTGGGAATATGCTGGTGCCCAGGTCTGTTCAGTCTAATCCAATAGCTCCCACTCCAGTTCCCCTGACTTACTCTGATGCCTAGCGGAATGGAGGATGATGGATGCTCCTTCTTTCTCATAACTGGCGCTGAGATGGGTCTCTTCAAACTGTCAGTGAAAAGAATCCCAAATATAGTCACTAGATTGAGGTCAGAAACTGAGGAGATGGCAAGTTGCCAAAATTTAGTCAACAAAAGCAGAGTGAGGAATATAAAAGTGGGAACTAAGACAACAACCAGAGACTCTAAGTCTGAACAGAAGAAAATGAGAACAAAAGTCCAAGTAACAAAATGAAAATGATGGTGGGTGCTGGCAGAGAGACAAGAACAAGGACACTGAAATATACTTGTAGTTAAGTCAGCTATAGAGCGTTCCACTGTGTTAGATGCCAGCATGTCTCAGAGGCCCTACATATGCTCCTACAGGCCCACCCGTTACTCTTCCTCCTCCATATATACCTCCCTGTCCTAAATATGGGAAGCACTTATGAGTTAATAGTGGTGATACGTTTAAGTGGGTGATGGTCCTCAGATATGTGTACACCGATGTTCACAGCGGCATTATTCACCACAGCTAAAAGGCAGAAACAACCCAAGTATTGAACATTATTTGGACTTAAAAAGAAATTCTGACACATGCTACAGCATAGGTGAAACCTGAGGACATTAAGTGAAATAACCCAGTCACAGAAAGATAAATGTTGTATGATTCCATTTATATGAGGTACCTAGAGTAGTCAAATTCATAGAGACAGAAAGTAGAATGGTGGGTGCCGGGGGCTGAAGGGAGGGAAGGGTAGGGGGTTATTTTTTAGTGAGTACTGAGTTTCAATTTTCCAAGATAAAGAGTTCTGGAGATGGATGGTCACAATGGTTACACAACAATATGAAGGTACCGAGTACCACTGAACTGTACACCAAAAAAAAAAAAAAAAAAGGTTAAAATGGTAAATTTTATGTTACATATTTTACCACAGTTGTTTTTTAAGGAGGTGATTGTAGGGGTGCCTGGGTGGCTCAGTCGGTTGAGTATCCGACTTCAGCTCAAGTCATGATATCATGGCTCATGGGTTGAAGCCCCACCTCAGGCTCTGTGCTGACAGCTCGGAGCTGGAGCCTGCTTTGGACTCTGTGTCTCCCCATCTCTGCCTCTCCCCAGCTCTCTCTCTCTCCCAAATAAATAAACATTAAAAAAAAAAAAAAAAGAGGTGATTGCCTTGGAGGATTGTTCTTTTTCATAGCACAGGTCCTGTCCTCAAAACATTTTCAGTTTAGTGAGAAATCCAGTGATTCTTCTCAGGAAAGAAATATCACAAAGATATTTTTAGGGAATTGCTTACAAATAGAAGTGTCTTCCTTTTGGCACCACCAAGAAGCCAGTACTCTTGTGCCAAAATCATAGTTTCCTGAAGAGTAATTAGCAGTCCATCCTGCTAAGAGAGGAAAAGGAGGTAGGTTAGGGCAGTGTGTCATGCAGAGCACAGTATGCTCAGGAAAAATCTGGAAAGAAAAATAGACAAAAGGAGGAAATGGAGATAACAAGTGAAAAGTAGAAAGCAACTCAAAACCAGAGGAAAAAGAAGAAAATGTAGCAACAGCTCTCTGCAAAAGTCTGCGAACCCCCAGCAGTGAGCATAGCAATTAGGACTATGAGACTTTAAGGCACAATAATATGCCAGCTAAACAACTCAGTGAAGACACAGTGGAACAAAACAGGAGTAGAGAAAAAAACTGAGCATGGATCTCAGTCACCTTTGACTTAGGAGTTTATGTAATTCTCTGTAGGAGAAAGGAAGCCTAACCAACATGTATTCATTCTTTCTAGAACAGTGCTCCTTCAGCTTGGGTATGCATCAGAATCCTCTGAAAAGGTTGTGAGAGATTATGTACTCATACCAGAGATTCTTCCTCAGTAGATCTCCACTGGGGACTGAACATTTGCATTTCTAACAAGTTCACAGCTGATGCCAGATGCTATTGGTTTGGGGACCACACTATGAGAAACAGAGCTCTAAAATTAAAGAGGTATAAGATATTAGTAATTGGCTGCATTTTTTTTAATTGCTTAAAAAGGAAGGTCTAAATCAAGTACTGTAGTAAGGGACTGTATTGAAAATATTTAAACCCAGGTAGACCTGTCTACCATTCGGTCTCTCAGTGAAGTGGTTAATAGTATGAACTCTTGACTTAGACAGACTTGACTGTGTCACTTTATAGTAGTATGCCTTCTGGTAAGCTACTTGACCTTTCCATACCCTATTTTCTTCATCTGTAAAACTAGGATAATATAGTACCAACCCAGTGGGGTTGTGGGAAGATTAAATGATTGATGCATGGGTGGCTCAGTCAGTTAACGTCCGACTTCGGCTCAGGTCATAATCTCACGGTTCATGGGTTCGAGCCCCGCGTAGGGCTTTGTACTGATAGCTAGCTCAGAGCCTGGAGCCTGCTTCAGATTCTTTGTCTCCCTCTCTCTCTGCCTCTCCCCCACTCACACTGTCTCTCTTTCTCTCTCAGAAATAAATAAAAACATAAGAAAATTTAAATAATTGATGTGTGTACAAAGACAGCACAGTACCATCATATACAGTAAATGTAGCAGCACCCAACATTCATCTCTGCTACTTTTGTACCAGTCCCATACCTTTCCACCAATGTTAACAATCTTTTGAAACCTGAATCATAGGAACAAAGCCAAGATAATAATCTTCTGAACTGATTCTCCCAATTTACCATGGAAACCACTTTATCCTGTGGCAGGTAATTACAGGCAAAAGCATAAAAATATATACCGCCTTTATAGAAACGTTTAATCCTGGAATATTCTTTTCAGTGGTTGCTAGAGAAGGAGATAGTTCCAGAGGTTTCTTGGGAAAATTAATTAGTTTGCAACTGTAATATTATTCAGCATCTTATATTCATAGGCCTGTGCAAAAAATGTTGCAAAGAAAGCAAAGGGTTTATGTCCTTTAATTTGTGATATAAATCTGGAGGTAGCTGATAGGATGAAATGCAATTTTTTGTTAACTATAAACTCAATAAAAATTATTAATTTGGGAAGAGAATTTTAATTTCAGTAAAGCAAATAAATGGCCAATTTCAGTTCTCTTCTGTTAGAGGATATACTTAGGATAGTTGAGAAATGACTGGATTAATTATTTCTCTTAAATCTATCACAAAGGATCATTCGGGGTCTGGCCTCCAGACTAGTTTATATGTTATAACCTTTTAGAGGAACACAAGCTTTGCTCCCTGTATCTGCCCCTTAATCTAAGAAGATAAGCTCTTATATGGCTCCATCGTATATTAGGACATAGTTCTCATAAGTCCACTCTCCAGAGACATACAAGTGTCTCTGAAGACTGGAATTTACGTTGTTGTTGTTTATAGGGGAGAGTGAGAATGCTGTCTCCCACAACCACAAATTATATAGCTGAGTTTTCCACATTTGGGGAAATCATGGGGGTCAGCATATCTGGAGTGCAATGGATAAGCGTCTCCCTGGGAAAGCCACCTTTATGATTATTGTATCTTCCCTGCCAGGTAAGTATGGAATTTACTGTTTTTTAAATGGATCTTTTTATTGTGTCTTTTGGATAGGTTCATGGAGCAGGCACCTTTAGCTGCTACCTTTAATCCTTTCCTTTTCTTCTTGTGAATTGTCCTTTCTCTTGCACATAGCCGTATGTGTCAGGGAGGCCAGTCCAGTTTCAGCTCTGTGAAGCATGGGGCGGGGGTGGTATTTATCCTAGATTGGCATATGACAAGAGCTGATGACAAAATTCTGGCTATGATGAAGTGAGGGGGAAGTCTGCTGGCGACATACAGGAAACCCTCACTTTTAAAAGGGCACACAAGAGGGGTGCCTTGGTGGCTCAGTTGGTTAAGCCTCCAATTCTTAGTTTTGGCTCAGGTCATGATCTTATGGCTTTGTGGTTTGGCCCTGCATGGGGCTCTGCTCCAACAGTGCTGAGCCTGCTTGGGATTCTCTCTCTCTCTCTTTCTCTCTCTCTCTCCCTTCCCATCTCTGTCTCTCCCAAAATAAACTTAAAAAAAAGGCACACAAGAATGAGGTGAGCTCATTTATGTCTGCATCTTGTTTATGTTTGCCTCTGATTTGGGATAAGGGGCAGCCATCTTGTAACTAGGAAGGGAGCTATCCTAAAAGATGGCGGGATAGAAGGTGGAAGGTAAAAAACCTGAGAGCTTGGTGATATCACTGAGCTTCTGAATTCAGTAACCCAAGAGGTACCCTTCCTCTAGAATAGTAAATAAGATAGTGAAAGATGTTAAATAAGTTAGTAAAATTTCCGTATTGTTTTACATATCTTAAATTAGATTTTCTGTTACTTGCCAACAACATTATTCTAGCAGTCATTTATATGAAACCAGTCCTTGACCTGGTGACGTACTCAGAGACTAGTGTTCTCAGACCCAGCAGGTAGGCATCTTGGCTCCGGTCAGTGCCACCACTGAAGTAAAGTCTGTTGAAATGCACCATAAAGCTTTGAGTGAAACTCTTCCTGGGGACAACAGTGGACTTCAATATCAAGAATGTGCCTGTCAAAAACGTTTGTTGTAGCAGTGTGGCTGACAGCAAAAATGACCAACCAAAGGAAGCAGCTGGTTTCATGGCTCAAGTGATTATCCTGGCCAGGGCAAATCAGTGTGAGATGTGCACCTGTTGTGGACGATCACACAGTTCACGTTGCTTGCAAGTTTGCCGAGCTGAAGGAGAAAATTAATTGTCATTCTGGGAACCAGCTGGAAGATAGCCCCCAAATGCTTGAAATCTGGTAGTTCTGCCGTCATTAATATGACTCCTGGCAAGCCATGTGAGTTAAAAGCTTTTCTGATAATTCTCCTCTGGGTCATTTTGCTGCTTGTGACATGAGACAGAGGGTTGCTGTGGGTATCATCAAAAAACTGGACAAGAAGGCTCCTGAAGCTGGCAAGGTCACCACCTCTACCCAGAAGGCTAAACGAGTAGTATTTGCCTCTCCAGTCTTAATCAGTGGTGGAAGAATGGTCTTAGGACTGTCTGTCTCAATTGGGCATTTAAATTTACTGGTAAAAGACTGGTTTGATGATGCAATGCACTGTAAAACCTTCAGAAGGAAAGGAGAATGTTTTGTGGGCCATTTGTTTTTGTGTATGTGTGGCAATTTAAAAGCTATCAGTATTTTGTAATGGAAACATCTTTATTTTTATTATTTTTAGCAATCTTTACACCCAATGTGGGGCTCACACACACAACCCCGAGATCAAGAGTCACACGGTCTTCTGACTGAGCCAGCCGGGCACCCCTTTAAAGGAAACAACCTGACTAAAAATCTTTTACAGAATTGTTTGATTCATCAAAACAGAGTTTTATAAGAAAAAATTCTGTAATTCAGCCTGATCTATTTGAACCCTGATTAAAGGACTATGAATGAACATCAAGAATCTTCTAGTGATGAATAACCTAATTGTGGTAATGGTATCATGGGTGTTTACATATGCTACAACTTGCCAAATTATACACTTGATTTTTTAAAGAAAGTTTGTTTGTTTATTTATTTTGAGAGAAAGAAAGCACACACACGTGAGTGGGGGAAGGGCAGAGAGATAGGGAGAAAGAGAATACCAGTGCAGAATCTGATGTGGGGCTTGAACCCATGGTCAGATCTGTGCCACTCAAGCACCTCTCAAATTATGCACTTTTTTTTAAATATTTTTATTTATTTCTAGGAGAGAGAGAGAGAGAGAGACAGCGTGAGCACGGGAGGGTCAGAGAGAGAGGGAGACACAGACTCCGAAATAGGCTCCAGGCTCTGAGCTGGCAGTCAGCACAGAGCCTGACGCGGGGCTCGAACCCACGAACCGCGAGATCATGACCTAAGCGAAAGTCGGCCGCTTAACCGACTAAGCCACCCAGGCGCCCCTCAAATTATGCACTTTAAATACGCACAGCATATTGTCTAGCAACGATATCTCAAAGACAAATTTCTCTGACTACAATGCAATTAAGTTAGAAACTAATAATAAGAAAGGAAAAATCAATTAAAATACTTCTAAAAATTCATGCCTCTAAGAAAAAATCATAATAGAATCATGAAATTCTTTAGAATTGAACAATGAAAACAGTGTAGAACAAACTTTGAGATGCAGCTAAAGTGTTACCAAGTTGTAAATTTATTGTTTTAAGTGCTTACAAAAAAACCCGAGGACCTGATATTATAATCTAAGTTAGACAGGGACGCCTGGGTGGCTCAGTCAGTTAAATATCCAACTTTGGCTCAGGTCATGATTTCGCAGTTCGTGAGTTCGAGCCCTGCCTAGAGCTCTGTGCTCACAGCTCCGAGCTAAGAGCTGCCTTGGGAATCTGTGATTTCCTCTCTCTCTGCCCTCCCCTGCTCATGCTCTGTCGCTGTCTCTCAAAAAATAAACGTTATAATCTAAGTTAGACAAAACAGAATGAAGAAGAAGAAAGTGAAAACAAGAATTGAATGAAATTGAAAAAAATATATTTATATAAAAGGAACGATCAGGAAGCAAGAGTTGTTTCCTTAAAACGACTAATTAAACAAACCTCTGACAAGTTTAATCAAGGAGAAAAAGAAGAGAAATAAAAGAACTGAAAAATGAAAAAAGATGCTGTAGGTATTAAAAACATAATAGGGTATTATGATCCACTCTTCGCCAAGATGGAGTAACAGAAACCAGATTTGTTTCCTAAAACAAGCAAAAAACCCCACACAAAATACATGAAAAAAATCAGAGAACAAAAAGGAGTGGTCTCTAAGAGACAGAAAACAGTAGAGAGAACAAAGATGACAAACGACAGAAATCAGAGTCCCGTGAGAATCCCAACTTACTATTTTTAGTGTTTCCAGGCTGGGGTACAGGGTGGGGGGAGTCATGGTGGAGTCTGGCGGATTCCCTAAGGTGCTGAGGAGTTGATTCTTAAAGAATACGGAGCTGAAAGTGCAGAGAGATCAAAGAAGCTAGGGTTTGCAGGACACTGTCTGAGTCGAGATAGAGCTTCACAGAGAGCGAACCTAGAACATCAGCACTTGTGTGTGAGGAAACCACCTGAGGCCAGAGAAAGGAACATCTGAAGGCATTTAAAGGAAAGAATGCCTGGAACTCACAAAGGAGCAGTGTCTGCTACTACCAGCTAGCTTGGAAATAGTCTCGTAAATCACAGGCACTGGGTGGAGTACTCTGTAAGGATTACAAAAGAACAGGAGAAAACTTTTGGGGGACAATGGATAACATTCACCATCTTGATTGTGGTGATGGTCTCCAGGATATTGGCAAATGTTAAAACTTATCAAATTGAAAAAAAAACTTATCAAATCATATACTTTTATATGTGCCGTTTATTGTCTATTAACTATATCACAAAAAGGCTGTTAAAAAATAGACTCTAGAACACAAAAGTACAGTACATATAATAGTGCATAAGACATCCTCAATAAACACCAGTTTTTTTCATATAAATAACTTTATACAATAGACTTGAAAACTTCTTTTTTTAATTTCTTTTTTTTTTAATGTTCTATTTATTTCTAGGAGAGAGAGAGAGAGACAGCGTGCGCAGGGGAGGGTCAGAGAGAGAGGGAGTCACAGACTCCGAAACAGGCTCCAGGCTCTGAGCTGGCAGTTAGCACAGAGCCCGACGCGGGGCTCGAACTCACGAACCGTGAGATCATGACCTAAGCGAAAGTCGGACGCTTAACCGACTAAGCCACCCAAGCGCGCCAACAATAGACTTGAAAACTTACATGAAGTAGATGAATTCCTAGAGAAATGTAAATTACAAAATTGACTCAAGAAAAAAGGAGGAAGACTGAATTCCCTATATCGTTTAAAGAAATTAAAACAATTTAAGAAGTGTTTCAAAAAGAAAAGCACTGTGCCCGCCAAATTTTTATAGGCATATTTAAGCAAATATTCAAGTGGAATAAATAAAAAACAGAATATAACAAGCTACGAGTAGAGCCACATGTTCAATACTCACTATATATATAAAACACGTTAAACTCAACAGTTCAGAGAAAAAAATCCAACCCTTGGGAAAGAGTATCATAATTACCTCAACAATTGATAGATAAAGCAGAAAAAAGTCAAGAAGGGTAATGCTAACTTAGGATAATTTCAATCCTTAGACATCTATTTCCAGGGAATAGAAATAAAACTCCTTAGTTTATCTTATGATGTTAAAATACCTTGGTATGAAATCCAGCACACACAAAAAAATTCCAGATCAATCTCGTCCATGAACATAGATGCAAAAATCTTGAACAATAACCACAAACCTATCAATGTATAAAAAGATAAGTTATTAGGGTTTTTTTCAGAAATAAAATATTGATTTAACATCATGTTATATGTATAATAATATATTGTTCAGAGATCCATACATATGCTATAATTAATGCCAAAATGTTGAACATATTCCCTGTAGGATCAGGAACAAGGACATCCAGTACCACAACTTTTATTATATTCTCTATTTTATGACAAAGATATTTACTATCATGACTATTCAATATTGAACCAGAGA